TTTCCCTAGATGAGTCCTGTCCATTGTTCTGATGTACGTAGGAAAACATGTCTTTGAAATGTCGGGGTGATTTTCCTTTCCAAAACCCCTGGAGGCACAACGCAGGCACCAGGGCACAAGACCCCCAGAGCACGCGAATAGAACCCATCAGCGTCGCCTTATTCCCCCAATACCATCTCCACGGGCTGTAAACGTTAATTAACTACCCTGTCCCCACCCATATCAAAGAAGCATGTGTTTCTCCGTTTCGCCTTTTATGCAGTCCTAGAAATGTCCCCGCTTTGCTTTCCGTCATCTTCTGCGCTGACCACCAATGGATTTCACATACCTCCCTTCCTTCTCTCCTCTGATTCTAAACGCATATAAGGAACTGCAAAACTGCCATTCTCCAGAGCGTCTTCTCTGTCTGTTGAGATTTTGCTTCTGGGCGTGTCCTCAACATTTTGGCTCAAATCAGCTCTTATAAAATCTTTCTATCGACTTGGATATTCTTTCACTGACAGCTGCAAAGAAAGGACTATGTTTCTCTCCAGGTCTAAAACAAGAGTATCTTTTCTTTTTAAAAAAGAAATGAAGGATTAAAAAAATACAATCATAAAAATTAGCCTATTAAACAGCAAAAAGGAAAACAAGTCTGAAATCAGAGGTACCTGGCATTCGAACTTCCTAAACACCTATCAGATGGCAGACTTTTCATACTAGTGGGAGAGCTTTAAAACTTTTGTGTAGTCTACGGCCATGCCACCCTGAACAAACCCGATCCCATCTGATCTCAGAAGCTAAGCAGGGTCGGGCCCGGTTAGTACTTGGATGGGAGACCACCTAAGAAGACCAGATGCTGTAGGCAAATTTAAAAAATAAAAAAAAGGTTGCCTCGCCTAAAAAATAAAAATAAAAAATAATTTAAAAATATATTAAAAAAAAAAAAAAAGAAGAAGAAGAAGAAGAAGAACCATCAGCCTTCAACCTTCCCACCTACCGCCAAGTAATTTCTGTGGTCCCTGGACCATTACACAAAACTTCAAAGGACTTTTCTTCCTCTTTTGCAACACTGTGAAGTGGCCACCAGAGGGCACCAGCAACACAGTCTTCCACTGGGCCACAGCTGGACGCTGCTGGACCTGCCTTAACATCAAGGGCGAAATGTAGGATTTTAAAGCAAGGGCTGTTGTCTTCCAGGAATTAATGCTCTAGGACTTACGAGGAGCTGAACGTTTTTCCCAGGACGAGAGGCCTGCCCACATTACACAGTCGCGCTCACGCCAGGCCTAGAGCACAGGGCTGCTGGCATGAGCCTGGCCGGCTCTAAGATGCCAAAGTGTCTTCTTGGCCACATTCCTTTCCCTGGGAAAGTAAGCCACGGTTCAAGTCCCACTATGATCAAGCCAGTAATGAAGCTGTTGAACTTAAAATCGATTGGCCATATCACAGTCCTTCTGCTTTACCAAGGTCACAATCTAAGACCCCCAAGAGTTATTAGGCAGTGGCAGATTGAGAACTTAAAACAGGCATGTGTCTGTCTTGCTTGGTCAAAAACAATACGTCTTTTAGAGCTTCCTAGGGGGAAAAATGGGAAGGACATTGGGAACGTGATGGAGTAAAAGGAAGACGTTAGGATGAAGAAAGGGAGAGAGGAGGGCAGAGCACAGGATACAGGATGGCAGGGAAGCAGGAGGGCTCGGTCATGACAGACCCGCAGACAGGCACCGGGCAGTAACTGGGACAGAGAGCAGAGAGAGGCAGGGAGGGCTATGCTTTTTCCCCTAGCGGAGGCTCAAGAAGGTGGGCTCAAGGCAAAGCCTGGACAGGTTACAGTATTCAGATAAGGCTCCTTAAGCTGCATTAGCATCAGCTGGGAATTTGTTATGCAAATTCTCGAGCCCCACCCTCACCCTACCAAATCAGGAACTGTGGGTGTGGACAACATGTATTCTCCCAAACCCTCCAGCTCCTTCTCATGCTCACTCGAGACTGAGAACTGTGGGTCCAAAGAGAACTGTATCAGATAAAATGCGGAGCTTAGATTGGATTCCATGGGAAATGCTGCTGCATCCCAGACACGGGAGGTGGGAGTGGGAGCATGTGTGACAATAGTTAGATCCCTGCCGAAATCAGCAGGGGGCGCTGCAACAAACCCTGCTCCCTATCTTAGCCCTTGCGAAAATCAAGCCAAAATTCATGTAGTCACAGTATAAGAAGGCATGCCACACCCCAGAGTATAAAAAAAGAACTTGCTGGAGGGGAGGGTATTTTCTCAAGAATGATTAATCATTTCTTGATAATGATGACTCTTCTCAATAAAAGAAAGAGAGAGAGAGAGAGAGAGAGAGAGAGAGAGAGAGAGAGAGAAAGAGAA